ACTCCAGTCTGGGCGACAGAGTGAGACTCCAACTCAAAAAAATATATATATATATATATTCTTTAAACGTTCATTTAACCACCCCACAAGCCACAATGGTAGACTTAATACAAAGGCTAACACAGGACTAAGTGGTCTTTATACCCCTGATATGATAAAGCAGATGAATAACTGATGTGGAACCCAGTTGCCTTATTTTTAACCACATCTCCTGGAAAACTGCCAAGAAAATACCATCAGAATGCATCAAAGAGATCAGTGCTACAGTGACTGCCTCCCTGGGACCTTTTAGTATTCAAACGCAGATCGTGGACATTTAAACAAATTGTGTATTAACAGATACATTAAACTTAAGCCTTCTGTTTGGTATGTGCTTTGCTTTTCCATTATTTTAATTTAACCTTTTTTCCCCTACCATAGCTTTCCAGACTGTTATGCTGCAGAGTTTGGTGACCTAGAAGTAGTGCAGGAAAACCAAGGGGGTGTTCCTCTAGAGCACTTTATCACCTGCGTTCCAGGTGTGAACATTGCCACTGCTCAGAATGGCATCAAAGTCGTCAAGTGGATTCACAATAAGCCCCCACCTCCCAACACAGGTAAATGTTAGACATTTAGTTCTTCAGAGCCTTCCATCTGTCTGCTGTGAGACTGGAGGTGGCTGTTGGCTCTTATTTTGTACAGGAGCACTTTTTGTTTGAGTCAAAGCCTCATTCTGTCACCCAGGCTGGAGTGCAGTAGCACTCAGGACTACCGCAGCCTTGACCTGCTGGGTTCAGGCAATCCTTCCACCTCAGCCTTCCAAGTAGCTGGAACCACAGGCACACCACCACACCCGGCTAATTTTTTGATTTATTGCAGAGTCAAAGTCTCACCAAGTTGACCAGGCTGGTCTCAAACCTCTAGGCCTAGGCAGTCCTCTCACCTCCACCTCTCAAAGTGTTGGGATTACAGGTGTGAGCCACCACACCCAGCTCAAGAGCACTATTTGCCAAGTGTGAAAGTACCATACCATGGGTCTGTCCTTTGATTTTTAAAAAAATCTCCAAAATGCCAAGGGGTTGGCAGAACTAGACTTCGTTTTATTTTTTAAGATGGCATCTATGTTGCCCAGGCTGTCTCTTATTCCTAGGCTCACATAATCCTCCCACCTCAGCCTCCTGAGTACCTGGGACTACAGACACATGCCACCACATCCAGCAGAGCTAGACTTTTTGAAGATACCAGCATTAGTGATGTAAAAAAATTTGAAATGCAAGTTTCATATTTACAGATCTCTTTACCTAATTTTATAAAGCTTTTGTCTTGTCAATTGGCCTTTTACAAATAGTTTCAAGTGTCTGGAGGAAATATTTCCTAATGAGATTTACCTTTGAAATTCATTTTAGTTGAAATTCATTATTTCTGACTTGGATAAATGTGAAAATAAGCATAACTTTCAATGTCAAGGACCAGGGAACTTGAACTTAGACTTGACTGAGTTTGTGAGTCATGAGCATGCCCTGAGTTGCAGGTGTCTAATGCTGCTGCCCATGAACAACACTTTCATCATTGCCTTCATACATATACATACTGCCTTCTCTTTGGCCCCTACATTTCCTCCCCTTCTCCTCCCACCTCCCCATACCCTACAGTAAAAGAGGAGAGGATAACCAGGGAACCTGGCCTGTACCAGCTGGCTCTTAACAGGGGAGGTACTTGCACCCAAGTTTCTTACCCAACACTTCCTTCCTTTCCCTCAACCTCTGACTTCTCAGGAGCCCAGAGATTATGCTGCTCCCTCCTCTCTCTCTTGTACCATCAGCCCACAGGCCTCTTCTACCTTTCTAGAAAGATTTCCATCTGATGATTTATGCGTTTTTAATTTTAAAATTTTTTAGGTTTGAACATTCAAGATAGTGCAAAAACCTGTTTCTTGCTCAGTTTCATGTCATGCCAGTTTTGTGACAGTTTTGCTTTCCATGGTTCTCTGGGTAACATTTTTAGCTCCACTATGGGTTTATTATGCTCTTCTGGGCTACCTACCTGATGACCGCTTAAAACTTTATTTCTGTGGGAAAGTATGTTCCATGTGACCAAGTTACAACCGGATCTTTGAATACAGGTAGTTTCTAAACTGGAAACATGCGGTGATTTTCACTTCTGTAAGTAACACTATAGTAGACTGTGCTTTACCTTGGCTGCTTCTAGAATTAGTGGGAAAGAATTTGTGGAAAGAATAAGTGGGACTAGCTAGTTGATTATATTGAGTCTGAGTATAGAAACTTCAACATAAGTAGCTTCTGTATCTGGTTTCATCTGCTTTCTCTTGGTTGTACTCAAGCTAGGAGCTGCCAGGTTAGTTACCTTCTTTTCAACTGGTGATATCGTGCTTTATGTCTTACACATGTCCTTTTTTCTCTAGACCCTTGGCTTCTGCGTTCTAAAAGTCCTGTAGGTAACCCACAGCTGATCCAGTTCAGTAGAGAAGTGATTGACCTACTGAAGAGCCAGCCAGCTTGTGTCATACCAATCAGTCACTTCATCCCATCCTATCACCACCACTTTGCGAAGCAGTGCCGAGTGTCAGACTATGGCTATTCCAAGCTGATTGAGTTACTAGAAGCAGTGCCTCATGTGTTGCAGGTAAGGAATGCTGAGAAAGTGTTTGTTTACAGATAGGAATGTTCCTTTGTGGCTTTGGCGGTCCCAGCCAAAAAAACAGGGTAGGTCGTCACCTAATTCTAAGAAATCATTTCTGAGCAAACCATCCTATAAAAACTTGCTTCGAAGTGTAGGAAACACACTCAAGGTGGCTTCTCAATTTTTTGAAAAGCTACAAGTTCCAGCTTAAAGGCAGTCCTTAGAGGGTTGGGGAGTTTTTTCCTCTTCTCCCGGCAGGCTGACCTCCTTCTTCCTAGCCCAGTTCTCCAGAGTTGTTCACTATTACCAAGGAGCTGCCGTGAATCTCCACATACTTGTTTGGTACCTAGGTGAAGGTCAAGGGCTTCCTTTTTTGTTTTTTTTTTTTTGAGTTGGAGTCTCACTTTGTCACCCAGACTGGAGTGCAGTGGCCGCTCCCGGCCACCGCAGCCTTGACCTCCTGGGCTCCAGTGATCCTTCCACCTCAGCCATCCAAGTAGCTGGAACTACAGGTGCGTGCTACCACGCCTGGCTCATTTTGATTTGTTGTAGAGATGAGGTCTCACCAAGTTGCCCAGGCGGGTCTCGAACCCGCGGGCTCAGGCAATCCACTCACCTCAACCTCCCAAAGGTGCGGGATTACAGGCTGAGCCACCGAGCCCGGCTAAGCGCTTCCTCTTAAAATGAGTTGGAGCCTGGGCTGGAGCTTAGCATTGGATCCTATGGAGATTGTGCCTGTTAACTCCCATTGTTATAAGTGTAAAAATGGCTTGGAAAACTTTAGCTGTATTTTAGAGACAAGATTAGGTTCCAGACTGATCACATGCTTTTCATTTCTGTACTCATGACTATTTGGAAGAGGACTGTAGGGCCAAAAAGTAAGAGTCCCAGGCAGTTGTTCCTTTTGACTGACTTTTGACCGCATTTTATTGGTTTTCGTGTGTTTCATGTTGTACATATCCCTTATGAGGGAGTTCCTCTCTGAGGACAGTGAGGAGAGAGAGCCAGCAGCATGAAAGTCAGTATCTGCTTAGGCCTCATGAGTATGAGTAAACTATGAAGTGTTTGCTTTGCAGATTCTTGGCATGGGCTCCAAACGTTTGCTGACCCTTACCCACAGGGCCCAGGTGAAGCGCTTCACTCAGGATTTGCTGAAACTTCTCAAATCGCAGGCCAGCAAACAGGTCATTGTGAGAGAGTTTTCACAGGCTTATCATTGGTGAGTTAATGAGAAGGAAAAAAATGAAAACAAGTATTTTAAAACACCTTTTCTGCCTTCAAATTTTCAGTAGTAATCTAATGTTTCAAACACTTGCAGTTATTTTAGCAATGATATTACTCTTCATTTCCATTGTTGAAACATAGGTGTTTCTCAAAGGACTGGGATATCACCGAATATGGTGTTTGTGAGTTGACTGACATCATATCAGAGATTCCAGACACAACCATCTGCTTGTCCCAGCAAGATAATGAAATGGTGATTTGTATCCCCAAAAGAGGTATGTGGCTTGCCTTTGCTGGAAAGCTGTTACTGTCTCCACGGTCATTTTAAAGCAGAATGGTATAGGGACTACACGTTTTCCTCCCTCTTAGTGACTTCTGGAGCTTTCACAGAAACTACTATGCTCGTGCACAGTGAATCCTGTATTCTCCAGAGGCCCGGGTTTTTTTGTTTTTTGGGGGTTTTTGTTTGGTTTGGTTTTTTTTGACTCTCACTCTGTCGCCCAGGTTGCTGGAGTGCTGTAATATGCTCATGGCTACTACAGCCTTGACCTGCTGGGCCTAGGTGATCCTTCCACCTCAGCCTTCCAAGTAGCTGGAACCACAGGCACATGCCACCATGCTCGGCTGATTTTTTTATTTATTGTAGAGATGAGGTCTCGCCATGTTGCTCAAGCTGGTCTCGAACCCCTGAGTTCAGGCAGTCCTCTTGCCTCAGACTCCCAAAGTGCTGGAATTACAGGCATGAGCCACTGTGCCTGGCATTTTTTGCTGTTATTGTTGTTGTTGTTGTTGTTGACCGGCTTATTTTTCAGCATTCTCTCTAAGAGGGAAAAGAGAAGAACCAGCACTTTCCTAAAGGGCCTTCTTCAACCTATCTGTGGAGCTGTAACTCATAGTTACCCAGCTGAGAGTCTGTTACCATGGCCCTTGCTAATCTCTTCTTTTTAACTCTGAACTACTTTGCCGTGCACACTTGGGAAGAAAATACAAATGGACGTTTTATTTTGTCTTTCAAATTCTAGTAGTTTCAGTTGAGGTCTCAGAGGTAGTTAGTTAAAAAAAAATCTACATACAGTTGACCCTTGAACAACACAGCATTGTGCGGGCCCACTTCTTCATGGATCCAGGGCTCAACGTGCTCGGGATGTATGTGCCCACGTGTATGGAGAGGCCAGTTTTTCTCATCTGTGGGTTCTGGAGGACCGACTGCAGGGCTTGAGTAGGTGCAGAGCTTGGTGTCTGTGGGGATCCTGGAACCAGTCCCCTCATACACCAAGGGACAACTGTATTGTCACGTTTCCCTCTGTTGTTTTTGCTCCCACAGAGTTAGACTGTGCTCCCACAAAGCTTCGGTGTCCATGAAATCATGGGATTCAGAGCCAAAATTAATAATGTCAGTCTTTTCCCAGTCTAATTTTTTAAACCTTAACAGGAACAATAAGTTAAAGCTTTTTCTCCTCTTTATTTTTATTCAACCTTTGAAGCCTGATACTCTTTTCTGCTATCAAGTTTTAACTGAAAATCAAATGAATGAACGAAAAATATGTGAAAATTCAGAATTGTGATTTAATAGAAATGATTTCTAGAACCTGTATATGTGTCATGTTCCTATATAAGGAGCAGGGGACGGGTGGTGGCCAGAAGATGAATATATGTGTATTTCATCGTGTGCCACAAGGTATCGTGACTTCCCAGTATTTTGTCCTTGAACATGTTTGAGAGAACGCTTGCGAAGAGGGAAGAGCATATGCTTTTGTTTTAGGTTGTGTGTGTTTGTACAGCAGAGATGATATCTCTTGTGAATTCTGAATAGGATGACTACAGTGTGGATGTTGAACACAAGTGGGTAGAAAAAGATTTTGATTTATGTTTTGTTTTTCAAGAGCGTACCCAGGATGAGATAGAAAGAACAAAACAGTTCTCCAAGGATGTTGTGGACTTGCTGCGTCATCAGCCCCATTTCCGGATGCCCTTTAATAAGTTTATTCCCTCGTACCATCACCACTTTGGCCGGCAGTGCAAACTTGCATACTATGGATTTACCAAACTACTTGAACTCTTCGAAGCCATACCTGATATTTTACAAGTGAGTGAAGAAATTCTAATCTTATGAGTAATTTCTGAAAAGTATATATGGTAACTTTTTTCCATTCGGGTCATATTTTCCTGGGAAGTAGGAAATTATGAAAGAGGATGAAAATCTGCAGTATTCCCATTAGAGAAGCTATGTTTTTTACCAGTGTGTATTTTTAGATAATTGTGGCTTTTTTCTTTCAATAAGGAATTCTTCAGACTTTTTTTTAGGGTGATTATGAAAAAGGGATTAACCAGTTTGATTTCTTAAGCTAAGCACTCATTCATTTAACTGCCTGCTTTTCAGATCCCTCACATTGGAGCAGTTGGGGGGTGGCAGTGCTGTGCTGCTAAGCTGTTGCCAAGTTAAACCAAGTCTCCATTGTTGATTTTATTATGATTTTTGACTCCTGAAGTGCTTTAAACATTTTTTTATTGTGGCAAAATACACATAGCATAGAATTTGCCATCTTAGCCTTTTTATGTGTTCAGTTAAGTGGTGTTCATACTGTTTGTTGTGTGGCCAATCTCCAGAACTTTTTCATCTTGCCAAACTGAAACTCGGTACCCATTAAACACCACAGGCATGCTTTCTCATTACTAGCTGTACACATTTTCATGCCATCTAGTTCCATGTTCATTCATAGTTTGTTTATTCTTCCTTTCTTCTTCCCCATGTATTTTCCAAGGTGTTGGAATGTGGAGAAGAAAAGATCCTTACTTTGACAGAGGTAGAACGATTCAAAGCTCTTGCTGCCCAGTTTGTTAAACTCCTTCGGTCCCAAAAAGATAACTGCCTTATGATGACAGATCTCCTTACAGAATATGCTAAAACTTTTGGTTACACATTTCGTCTCCAAGACTATGACGTCAGTTCAATTTCAGCTTTAACACAGAAACTCTGCCATGTGGTAAAGGTAACCAGATTGTTTCCATAAAATAAAATTTATTGTGGTGTAGTCCTCCTTGGGGTGTTTGCATGTGCCTTGGCATCTTTGTGTTCATGCCTTGTGCTTCTTAATGTTGCTCACAGCTTGTTTTGTATAGCATTAGTCCTTTCTAGGTAGCAGGAGAGAACTTGTTTTGGCAGTTTAGATCTTTGGTCTTCCTTTTGTGGGCTTGTTAATGGCCCTCCACAGGAACGCCTTTCTGAACTGATGAGGTCACTTTTCATCCCTTGGTGTTTTTTCCCAAGTGCTGCTGACCTGAAGTTGAACCCTCACACACAGATTTCTGTCTCCCAGGTTTTTGGGAGACTGTAATCACATCCTACAGGTCTTTTTTCCTCCAGATTCTGACCCACTTAGGAGTGGATTTCAGAGCCAAAAAAGACTGTGGTGATGGTCTGGATTCTAAAGAGACAACCTCATCCCTGGGCTTTCCTCCATTGATGATTAAACCTCACTTCCAGGGAGGAAACCTGCATGATTCCATCATCATGATTAGGAGGCTGGGAGTCTGCCAGCCACCCTCGTATCTCAGCTCTGAGCATGTGCTGGGACACAAGCAAGAGGCCCTGGTCTCAGGGTGTCCTCTCAAGTGCCACCTGCCTCTCTCTGCCCTAAGAATCCAAAGTCCTGTAGAATACAGTTGTGGTGACTTCGTGCATGCCATAGGCATTAAGACCACTAGTCCTGGCAGGAAAACCAGAGAGTGGGACAAACAAGCGGTGGCAGTGCTAGACATTGGCTTACTTAGCAGTGCTTGAGCCCCACACAGCCTGAGGCTCTGCCTGTTGCCGTGACAGTAAAGGCTCAGTCTCAGGCGCCAAGTGCTTCTTCACATAGAGTTTGGTCCCCACATGACAACCCATGTTGTTCTTGCAAGGTTTCCCTTCCAGTACTCTTCATCACTTAAGGCCTTTATCTCCTTGAATCTGAAATAAATTTTTTTTTGAGACGGGGTCTTTATGACCCAGGCTGGAGTGTAGTGGCACAATCACGGCTCACCGCTGCCTTGACCTCCTGGGCTCAGGTGATCCTCCTGCCTCTGCCTCCCAAGTAACTGGGACTCAAGAGACGAAATCATACTTTGTTGCCCAGGCTGGTCTTGAATCCCTGGACTCAAACGATCCTCCTGCCTCAGCCTCACAAAGTGCTGGGATTACAAGCGTGAGCCTTTGGACCCAGCCAGATAACCTGAGATAATTGAGGGGTAGATGTATACTAGTCAAAGATGAAAATACCAGCTTTGTGGTTAGTAATAACAGACCAGAAAAGTGCTGCTTGCCTTGTAGTCAGAGTGGGCCTTTACCACCTCTACCACCACGTGGGGTGAGTCAGGTCTGCACAGCAGCCACGTGGGTGTCACCCATCGTCTAACCTCCCACCCTGCACTTGAGCTTGGGCCACTGGGAGTCAGCAGGCTAGTCTATTTCTTCCCCATAGTAGGGAGTGGGAAGAAAGAATGAAGAAATAGAACAATAGCAGTGTCTTCCCCTACTGTTGCCTTAAGAGAGGATTGGTACTGATGGAAGTTTTTGTTATGGCCCAGCAGAGAGGAAGGGAACAATTTCTGCTCCAGTCTTGTCTCAGATGTTGGTCTGGTGTCCTAAAGAAGCTAAACACAACCCCAGTCTATTTCAGTGTAAGAGAAGAAATTTAGAGGTGTTTTATCTGTTGGTCTCATTGGCCAAAATGAATGAGCTGAGTAAAGCATGACCCAGGTTCTCTCTTTTGAGTTCTGAAGTACTTGAGTTCTGAAGTACGTGAATTCTCATTTTCCCCAGGTTGCTGACATAGAATCTGGCAAACAGATTCAGCTGATCAACCGGAAGTCTCTGCGATCTCTTACTGCCCAGTTACTGGTGTTGTTGATGTCTTGGGAGGGAAACACCTATCTTTCTGTTGATGAGCTCAAGAGACATTACGAAGCTGCCCACAGTTCTCCCCTCAATCCCTGTGAATATGGATTCATGACCTTGGCCGAACTCCTGAAGAGCCTGCCTTACTTAGTTGAGGTATGTGTGTTAGTGTTCCTTGGAACCATCGTATTGGCTGCTGTCAATTGGGTATTTCTGGATCAACTGCTGGTCTAGATTAGGGTGTACAGAGCTGGAAGGTGCCCTGGAGTCTATGAGACCAGTTTGGTCGTTTTATATGAACACACTGAGGCCTAGGGCAGAGAAGGAACCCTGCTTCAGCGAATGACAAAGCCAGCACAAAAGCCCCTGTCTCCTGATACTGGGACTGAGGTGCCTTTGTCCTACACCAGGCTGGATTTTGCTACTGTTACATCTTTCTGATGTAACAATGTGGCACAAGTGGTGGCTTCAAGTGATTTACCAGTGAGGTAGGGGTCAGAAAGGAAGGTTGTCTGGCTGGTCCCCTAGGCAACCTTTCAGGAATGGCACTTCTAGAAGAATCTTAAGAGAATGCTACATGCAGTTCTTGGACAACAAGTATAAAAACCTAGAGTGAATGTATGAGATGGACACTGGAAAAGATAAGTTATTAAAAGTGACTTGCCGGGCTTGGTGGCTCAGCCTGTAATCCCAGCACTTTGGAAGGCTGAGGTGAGTGGATTGCCTGAGCCTGCGGGTTCGAGACCCACCTAGGCAACCTGGAAAGACCTCATCTCTACAATAAATCAAAAATTAGCCGAGCGTGGTAGTGCATGCCTGCAGTTCCAGCTAATTGGAAGGCTGAGGCGGAAGGATCGCCGGAGCCCAGCAGGTCAAGGCTGCAGTGGCTGGGAGCGTGCCATTGCACTCCAGTTTGGATGACAGAGTGAGACTTCAACTCAAAAAAAAAAAAAAGTGACTTAAAGAGCAGTTACAAATTAGACCAGTAGCCACAAAAGAGACTATAATGATCATTGAAATTTTACCACTGAAAAAGGTACCAGGACCAAATGGGTTAACATTTGTGTTTGAGAGAGAACAGATAACTCCAACTTTAAAAAAATTATTCCAGGCTATCAAAAAAAAAAAAAAAATGAGAAAGCTTACCGCTTATTTTTACAAAGTCAAAATAACTTTCATACCAAAAACCTAATATGGTTCACAAAGGAAATGATCCTAAATAAAATACTAACAAGTAAACTCCAATGACATAAAGGAAGAATGATATGCCACTGTTATCATCTGACTATGACAGATAATTAAATAATTAAAAGTTATCAAATTCAGCATGTCTAAACTGGTAATTATCTATTCTGTGAACACTAGTTCTGGACAATTTCAGTACATTCCAAGACAAAAGACTATCCTTGTCCTGCAGTGGCTGGGAAGTATCCCTTCTGAAAAGATATCTGGTAAAGAGATCTGCCTACTTACTTACCCTTGGTGTTTAAGGGTTTTGTATGTATTTCTTACTGCTTTCCTTGTGTTTTTATTTTATTATGTTTCTAAAGAATACTCATACTGTCCACATCACAATGTTTTTTGGAAGACCGCTTTGGGAAATGAGGTTTACTGGCCTCAGCCTCCACCATCCAGACAGTTCTCTCCACCAGGATCACCTCCTGTGTTGGAGATGGCATGTTTCCTAGCTTCCTTCCCTCTTGACATAGATTTCTTAGCTCTCTGCAGCCATGGACTTGCACTCAGAGGCTGCGGCCTTCTCTGGGAGGAGATCCTTGAACAAATCCCTCCACCTTCTCCTCAGGTTATTTATGACCCATTTCCAGGGTGACCTTAGGTCTTTTCCTTCTCACTTCCATGTGGCAGGGCCATCACTCACGAAGTTCCTAATGCCACTCTTTTCTTTTGGACCAGGTTTTCACTAATGATAAGACAGAGGAATGTGTGAAGCTCACAAGCCTGTATTTGTTTGCAAAGAATGTGCGGTCTTTACTTCATACTTACCACTACCAGCAGATTTTTCTCCATGAATTTCCCATGGCCTATACCAAGCATGTTGGAGAAACACTGCAGCCCAAGACATATGGCTTCAATAGTGTGGAGGAGCTCTTGGGTGCCATCCCACAGGTGGGTGTTTTTCTCAGCTTCTTGGAGAGTGTCTTCCTAAAGAGCCACAGGCTGACTCTCCTGAGCAGAGAAAGAAAATGCTGCCAGAGAATAAAATGGTCCTTTCAAACACACTGTTGGCATAAAGTAAACTATCTTAGCGTTTCTTATCGACTCTATAGCCCTTTATTAAATCCCTGTGCACCAGGTGAGTAAGTCCAGACCCTGGCCCCAGGAAGGTGTTGGTCAGTGGGAGTCGGGACATGCAGTAGGTGGCTAGTGAGGGTGGTCAGGGAAGCGTGAGCCAGAAGCCCCATGCTCAGTGGCACACCAAGGAGGGTGGTAGGCCACTCCCCAGGCATGGAGGTCCTGGAGCAGAGCCAGCAGGGTATGCACAAGGTAACCATGTGATGCGAGGCAGTTGCAGCATGGGCATAGTGTGAGCAGATGCAGAGCAGTGGCAAGTGGCACAGACCATGCAGGAGCCCAGCAGTGAAAGAAGAGCCAGTGCCTAGGAAGGAGGGAAGACCCTGCAAGGCGAGAGCAGGAGTCCCAGGGTTGCTTCTGAAAAGCGCCCTCTGGCTGCTCTCTGTGGCAGAACCGAGAGAGCCGGCATGGAGGAGGGAGGCTGGCCGGGATCCTGGCCGGTGCAGAGGGCTGGGTCAGCGCCAGGTGAAGGGACTGAGCGGGGTGAGTGATTAATCAAGGATTAAGTGGAAACACAGGTGAGGAACAGTCTGCGAGCAGAGTCCTGGCAACAGTCATGAGGGCCCGGGAGCCAGCTCTACTGCACTCCGGCTGGCTGAGAAGAGGACTGCTTTAGGACTGTGATGACAAGCTTAGTTGAAGGGGTCTGGGAGGCCGCTCTTCATTTCTTTAGATTGTGTTTAGTTTCTGCAAGCAGTGGTAAGAGCTCTCGTGTGAGAACTGTCATTTATATACAGAGATGGTACTTGGAAGGCCATCTAAGAGTTAGAATATTTCTGAAGCTATGTCTCGTGATTCTCTGTTCAGCTTTTTATAAGCATCATGTTTCTATCACCTTCTCCTATTGCTTTAAAAGCTAAAGAATGGATGTAGAAACAGTCTTCTCCGAGTTGACTCCATTTCTAAGTCCTACTCTGAGGCAGGTCCCATAGGTCATGCGCTTCCTGAGGGTTAGGGCTTCTGTCCCCTCCTTTTCCACTGCTTAACCAGTAGTATGTCTTGTGTGCAGGTGGTCTGGATAAAAGGACATGGTCATAAGAGAATTGTAGTGTTAAAAAATGACATGAAAAGTAAGTAAGCACCTATCCCCGCCCCCCTTGACAAATCCCGGTTCCCTCACTGACTCTTCTCTGACCGATACTCCTCATCCTCCAGGTCGCTTGAGTTCACTCGGTCTTGCCCCTGCCCATCCTGAACACCGGCCCTCAGAGAGTGAGTGTATCCTGGAGGTTCCTGAGCCCCACGCATCCTCGGAACTCAAGCTCGGAGCAGGTGGCAGGGGTGAGAGGAGCAAATCTAGCAGAGCTTAGGAAGTCCTAGGAGAAGCAACTTGGGGTGATGGGGCAAGGCGGGAGGAGGCAGCCGTCATTTCACTCCTTGAAGGAAGGTATGCCTGCATAGTCCAAAGCAATGTTGGTGTTGAATCAGTGCCAGAGGAAAGACTGACCTGCACTGATAGCCTTGCGTGGCTGACTAGTCAGGCTCCTTGAAGAATGTTGGCAGCCCATGATGATGATATTACCCCAGTTCAGGTGTTAAAAAATTATTCTGGCATTGTTAAAATGGTAAGTCAAGGAGAGAGAACCAACTCCAAGTGCAGGGATGAGTGGGGATTTCTAGCCGAAGAGTAGGATTGGGGAGGGAGGTCAGTGGGTGGGAAATTACTAAGAGGAGACATCAGCTTAGGGGGATTCATGTGAACCACCTAATAGGATTCATCTAAAGGTAGGCCATGCAGGGACTTGGACAGCAAGGGTGGGGGTAAAAGATTCAACCAGATATTAAGTCAAGGAGAGAGAGCCAACTCCAAGTGCAGGGATGCGTGGGGATTAAGGGTGAGCAGATGTCAGGGACAGGGAATTCTCACTGTACTGACTCTTGCTCAGATTGGACTCAGCAAGTACAGGATGGACACAGAAGGCCAAGGTCAGGCCTAGTCCAGAAGAGGGCTCAGAGGAGCCTGACTGAACCTTGGTCAAGGAGTCTTGGTCCCAGGACATCCTTGAAAGTGACTTGATAGTGATGTGTTATCATTACTCAGAAGCACACTGAGTCACCTTGAGTTCATGTAGAGCCATCTCTGTAGTAGGTAGAAATCACCTTCTTGAATTTCATGGCAGTTTTCTTTACTGACTTTGAATTCGTTGTTATATGTGACAATTTTCTCTTGCATATCTCTGCGAGATAGATGAACATGTTACTGTACTTTGCTTATAGGATGGTAGATTACACGACCTTTTACATTGTGTAATGTGAATCGTCTCCTTAAGCTGTCCCAACAGCCTTCAGCAGGACCTAAAATTCTGGGAGGTTAAATAGCTTCCCCAAAGTTGCACAGTCAACGAAGTGCCAGAACTGGGACCCATGTCCACTAACACTGAGCTTCTGCTTGCTAATAAGCACTTGACCCGTGTCTCAGTGTCACTCCCTCTCTGGCAGCTGACAGCAGAGCCTTTTCTCAGCTGGGGTCTTTTGGAGAACGCACATCTTCAGGAGATACTGGCTGTGGCATTTCATTTACCAAGGATTTTTCTGTTAATGGCTTTTAAAAAAGACAAAACCCTTGAGTACTTCACTTTCTAGAAGACTTAGAAAGAAACTCTCAGGCGTACGTCTGTGTTGCACTGTGCTGGATAGAGGATCGCACAGTCATGCCTGCTTCTCCACAGGGCCCAGCCACATGGAGCAGGAGCTTCTCCGCCTGACCGACGACTCGCCAGTGGACCTGCTGTGTGCACCCGTCCCTTCATCCTTGCCGTCCCCCCAGCTGAGACCGGATCCTGTCATCCTTCAGTCTGCTGATCTCATTCAGTTTGAGGAACACCCTCAAGAGCCTTCTGGTAGGTGACACTGTGCTGTTGTGAAGGGTTTTCTTTGTAGGTTTGAAAAGTAAAACCATGATGCCAGCATATTAAATGTTTGATGAAGGTGGGAGAAACTATGTCTTTTCATGTGTAAAAATGCTGTGCTGATTGTTTAGGACTTCTTTCCCTGACTGGGCTCCTGCAAAACTGGGTTCACAGCTGAGGTGGACAGGCGGGGCAGGAGCAAGGGCATGGCGTGGCTGTGGAGGGGTGGGGTTACTGAATGACTGTGGAGTGGAGGGGTGGGGCCTTCCGGGCTTCTGGTCTCCCATCCATTCCAGAGGTTCAGCTACTCTCAGGCACAGCCACCACCAAATCCACACGTCGCCTCTGGTGGGCACAGAGGACCTGGGGCTGGACTGGAGAGAGGGAGCTGTGGCTGGAGAGTGGAGAGAAAGCTTACTGCATCGGGTCCCAGCTTAGAGCTGGGATGCATGCTGACCCTGCACTCAGCTGGCATACACCATTGCGTCTCTTACTTCAGCTCTGCAGTGGGCACAGCTCCCACTCCACGGTTAGGTGACAGGCACATCTGTACCATCACTGCAGAGGCAGCTGGCCCGAGGATCCTTGACTGGCAAGTGGCAGAGCTGGAATTTGAACCCAAGACCTCTTGTCCTTCTGTGGTGTCACTTGGCCCCTGAGAGGATGGCCCACTTGCTCTGTCAGGGTCTTTCCCTCCTCCTCCTCCCCCCTTGCAGTCAGGCTCCCCCCACCACTGCTGCTGCTTTCCAGGGGCTCACCAGGAACAGCCACGGATCCCTGGGCTATTCCTAGCATCCGCACATGTCTTCAGCAGCCCTTGGCGCTGCTGCTTACCTAGGAAGTAGGAACTGAGGGAAGAACACCTGCCTTTTGACATGGGCTGAGGACTAGCCTGTGCACACAGACATGGCTATGATATCTTCCCTGGGAATGCCTAACGAGAGTGGGGAAGACTGATGTCAGCTCTTCGTGAGGTGTGGCTTTTATGTCTTTAGTGTACATGAGTTCAACCATCATGTGATGAGAGAGAGAAAGTAATGTGGCAGTTCTGTCAGTCACTCTCCTCGTGACTATCAGTCTGAGTGGGAGCTGGCTCTGCTGTCCTCTCTCACTTCCATGTACCTTGATAGCAGGAGCCCTGTGCCATCGCAGTGGGAGTCTAAGGTATAATGGTGCATCTTTGTCAAGCAGCATGGCCCTGTGTATACAGCAGGTGGATAACTTGTGGCTCAGCCAGAGAAACAGCAGTCTCCAGACACTGTGGGAAGACTGGCTGTTTGATTTCTTGAGGTTCTAAGGGTAATTTTGGCTCTCTGCAGTTCTCCCCTTATCCCTAGTGTTAGAGCCATGCAGAGTATGGGTCCTCTGAAAACAGAATGAGCCTGGAGCTCCCTGGTGCCAAGACTGCCCTCCCCCCCCCCCGCACCCCCAACCACCACCTTAAAAGTCTTTAGGCCACGTGTGGCTTGTGGCTCTTAACTACCTGGCAGACAGAATGAATGGTCAGAGAATCCAAAGAGGAGAAAAAAACTTTTAGACCATTGGCCATTAATTTATAGCCCAAAACGGAGATCTGAAAAATTTTGTAACCCAGGAACGAGGTGACATACAATTTATAAATATTAGATTTATATGACACATAATATTGGCCACATAGCTAATATGTAAACTACAACATAAGTGTGACTTTGAGGGTTTATTTTAAAGCAAGAAAGAAAACCGCTTTTTGTAGGTCCTTGAACTAAACCTGTTTGCTTTTCTGTGTTTACAGAAATTATAATTTTAAACCAAGAAGAAAGCATGGAAATTCCGATACCAGGAAAGAACGAAACTCCGACCTCTGACTCCAGGTCATCTTGCATCTCAGCAGCTGTCCCTGTGCCTCCCTGCCCCTCCTCGGAAACCCCAGAGTCACTGCTCAGCAAGGACCCCGTGGAGAGCCCGGCCAAAAAGCAGCCCAAAAATAGAGTAAAATTGGCAGCCAACTTTTCCTTTGCACCTATAACCAAGCTTTAGCTCCCATTTTGAACTTAAAATTAGGATGGGAAAAACTGTCTGATTCTGCACACAAAAATGGGTTCAAAAAACGCATCCTTTTATGTTTGAATGAAGGCCCCCGGGAAGCCCCTCACTTCGACTTGGGGTGTATTTCATGTGTTTTGTTTCTTTTACATTGAACACAACTCTGAGCTGAGGTCTTTCTTTCATTTTCTTCTTTCTGTTTTCAATTATTTGAAAGAACTGGCATTTGTTGAAGAATCCTTAATATATTTTATCAAATTTCCCTTAACTTGTGAGGTAGAAGGGTGTTCATAAGAAGAGAGCACTAAGAACTCAACCAGCTGGAATTGGTTTTCCTTTCACCGAGCCCCTCCATGGTGTGATCTTCCATGTAGCATAATACAGTCTCTCAGCCTTTGCTTGCTGATGTTTACGACAGTATTAATCCCATGCATGATGTGTCTTCGAAACACAGCGCGTCCCACGACCCTGCGTGTTCATGCGCTGAAAGAGAAGGGTGGGCGAAGAGGGAGAGTGCATCTTCAGGGCTGAATGTGAAGGTTCCTGGCTTCCGTGTGACTTGTGAGTGTGCCTTGTCTATTAGTTAACTATGTCTGTAGTCGACAAATGTGGCTTCATCACAAATTTTTTAAAATGCTTCTACTTTGGGGTTCCATTTAGGAGCTTTCTAGAAAGTTGAGGATGTTTTAAGCTTCCCTTCTGTGTTCCAGTTTGATATGGATTAGGTTAAGGAAAAGGAGATGGTCTTGGTGTCGTGCATTTCAAGTCAGCATTTGGAAGACAGCACACATGATTGTGTGTCGAGAGGCTGCGTTGGGAAGAGAGTCTGATTTTCAGAACTATGCATCAGGTGCATAAATGACAAATCAGAGCCGAGTGGTGAGGTGCTGGCAGGAGCGGTATCCATACGACTTGCACTAGGAAGAGGCAGGAGTTCTATCCACGAATGCAGGCCAAGGTCAACGTAACCTTGTTTTTGTAATTTTAAAGCTGGTGTTGGTAGCTGGGAAGCCTTGTATGTGAATATCTGTGTGTGTTAGCTCAGCATCTTTTTAACAGTGTCTGTTTTTACTCTCATTACTTCTCGCTGCTGGAAGCATGTTTGGGTTTTTGTGGCGTCTGCTGTGGAATAGCCTTCCTCTCCAGGTGCCTGAGGTGTCCGCTGATGGGTGGCCTCTCACCACCCTGGAGAAACCTGACATTTACAATGGGTTGTATTTGTTGGGCACAAAAGGCGGATTCATTCATAGAGCAGCAAGAACCGGTAGGTGCAGGGTCATCCACTAGTTAGATGGTTTCTCTTGGGGAGTGTTTCTGTTTTATAACTTCTAGAAAGCCAGAAAATGGGCTCTGATTTCATAGCCAGCATTTTGATAAAATGCCACAAAATAAGGGCTATCGCGAGATTTTTACAAGTTAGATTTTTGTTCCTCGAATCTTTTAAATGAAGCCAGTGACTCCCAGTTCTCAGCACATGGCCTCAGTCAAGTCGGCACAACCCTGGAACACCCTCTGAGTAGCACGGCACTCTGCGAGTCTTTTCTGAAGGCATTTCCTCTACAGACATAGTGTTGCAGGAAGTCAAATGCAAATGTGCAATTTTTTAAAGAAGCTTTTAAACAATGTAATAAAGTTGGTGTTGAGAACATCAGTTGCCTTATTCTGAGATTTCCTAAGGCTGTGTTTTCACACTTGGACTTCAGTTTTGCTAGCATGTAAAGACTTGTGGACTTAAAACTGGAAGAGGTATCATTACAAGTCACCTGGAGCAGTCTCCAAGAACAGCTTCTTTGGGCAACAGAAGAAACAAGTTCTGCACTGTCCTGTGAGTGTGTCTTAGTACCAGTCACTGGAGTTGCCACTTAGTGTGGGACGTGTGTGGGACTCTAGCAGTCGCTGTCTGAAGACGTGATAGAAGACATCGGAAGCATGTTGTGTTCATAATGTACTCCACCATGGCCAGTCCAATTGCTATCTATTTTTTTATCCAGAGGCTTAATTAAATGATGTGATAAAATAATGTGTGAGCATAGAGACAGTGGAAGTCTTTATTTCTGAGTGGAAAGATGTACCAGATTAGATTTATGTGTTTAAAAAAAAAAGGACAAAATTTATCACCAAAACCCCCTCTCTCATCTTGCACTGTTTGTTTTGGATTGGGTTTGGGGGAAGAGGTGTTTTCCTTAACTGTCTACTTTGTTTGAACACTTTTGTTGTGGTTCAAGTGCTGTTTTGTGTGTTGGGACCAAACAGTTGTCAATAAACTTTACAAGCAAGCATCTACACTGAGTTTTTCGAGTGAGTGGTATTGTCTGTCCATGTGTTTATGGGAGGACCAGGCCAGTTCCATTCTGGCCTCATTCATAAGAGGTTTCCTTGACTTCTTATTCCTTCTGAAAATACAGCTATGCAGATTGGTCTCCATTTTAGAGGACTTTTGTGACAGCACACACCCTGGCAGGTGGCTGGAGGTCAGGCTCCTCCACGTTTTCCAGCCTTGGTCCCACCCTTCGAGGTCAGGCTCCTTCAAGTTTTCCAGCCTTGGTCCTACTTAGAATCAAGTATGGAAAAATGAAGTAGCCACATACCCGCCTCCAGTTAGAAAATTCATTCGTTCCTAGGCTCGCTCTCCTTGAGAAACAAAGCCACTTTGCCTGCTGCTTTATTTTTATCACTGCTAAGCATGCTGTTTGGATAAGTTGTGAAGCCCATCTTCCCCTGAGACCATTACCCCATCAACCCACCACCCCCACCCCTATCCCCCCCCAACAAGAATTTGGAAGGACCTAGAAGAGGCTTCAGTAAATTGCTTCTGGATGAAGTGCAATGTTTTTCAAGTTCAGTGTTAAATACTCCTCTGACAATTCTCCCAAGACCTTTGGCAATCCTTCCCAACATCTTATGAGAGCAGAGCAGATTTTTTGCAGAAGAAGCTGAGCTGCCACCATGCTCCTTTGCCGGGGGGTGGGAGGGTGAGGCGGTTTCACCAGTTCTCGATAGGGCTGTAGATGCACTTACCTTTGTGCATGTCCCACCTTTGAAGGTGGCTCCGAGGCTGTAGTTTAGAACATGGCCACCGGGCAGAAGCAGGCCTCTCTGCAAGGGGATGGGGGGGGTCATGCTGACTCCAGAAGTCCTGTAGCAAACCCTCTCTGTTCCCTCTGCCAGGAAGAGCGTCATGCTTTGGGGTTTATTTTCCCTGGTTTCTAGCTTCTTCCCGTGGGCAGAGGATGAGTCACAGCTGAGAAGCCCTTCGTGGCCTCCACCCACCAGAGACCTGCTATAGCCATTGCGCAGGGGGGTAGGGGGAATTTTCCTCGACCCTATTAGTGTTCTGGCTGGGCCTTAAACTAACAAAGACAGAATAACGGAAGTACACAAATGCACTTAATGGAAGTTTTAAGGGGAGCCTTCATAAGGAAATGACCCAGAGAAATAAGCCTGAGAGGTTTTTTGTTTTTGTTTTTTTGAGTCAGGGTCTCACTCTTGCCCAGGCTGGAATGCAGTGACATGATCATGGCTCACCATGGCGTCCAACTCCTGGGCTCAAGCAATCCTACATTAGCCTCCCGAATAGCTGAAACTACAGGCGCGTGCTACCATGCCTGGCTAACTTTTTGATTTATTGTAAAGACAAGGTCTTATGGGGCACCAGCTGGTCTCAAACTCCTGGGCTCAGCGATCCTCCTGCCTCAGCCTCCCAAAGTTCTGGGATTACAGGTGTGAGCCCAGCCAGCCTATGAGATTTAATGAAGAGCGGAAAGTCATGAAAACACGTGATGGAACAAAAAGGGTATGCGCTAAGGGAGGTAAATGAGGAAACAGGGCCTGTTCATCTGGATCCCTCTTGGCGCTCCCCACAATCCCATCTTCAGAAAGTGGGTGTTCCTTTCCCCAGGTGTAGGGAGGGCACCTTTCATATGAGGGACTCGCAACCCATTGTGGCGGAGAAGGGAGAGGTCAGAGAGTCCTTCCCGCACTTGCTCTTCCTCAGAATAGTCTGTGTTCCAAAGGGGCAGATCTTGGGGTGGCATACCCTGATGCTCCCCACCTTCATGTGGCCTTCAGACTTGGGCAGGTTGCACATTGGCTCTGGGGATGGGAAAGGAGCAGTAACCTGGACTCGCTCTTACACCAGAGATCAGACTGGTCCCTGGCGCTGCTTGGCCAGACCCCATACTCCCTGCCTTGCTTTACTCCATGCTGTTCCATTAGCTGACTAGGCTCAGCTGCTGATAGAGTTACAGCTCTAGCCTCATCTAACTCCACAGAGAGATGCAAAGAAGACTGACCCAAATTGCCTTTGGAATTAATAGTTTCAGAGCAGAGTGACAAGTCTCCTGCCCGGAGAGTTCCAGTCTCTCTGTGGGAGGCAGGCAGCCATGAGATCTGCTTAGGTTGGAATGCGAGGAAGCCCGGTTGCCTTTGGGAAGAAGTTGGCAAGCGATATAATGGGCAGGAAAGAGACGATCCCTCATTGTTCAGGTGTGTGGGCCACGGAGCTTAGCAGACACCACACCAGAGATCAAGAGCCAGAACTTGGCCGGGCTTGGTGCCTCATGCTGTAATCTCAGCACTTTGGGAGGCCGAGGCAAATGGATTGCCTGAGCCCATGGGCTCGAGACCAGCCGGGGCAACTTGGTGAGACCTCGTCTCTACAATAAAATCAAAAATGAGCTGGGCATGGTAGCACGCACCTATAGTTCCGGCTACTTGGAAGGCTGAGGCAGAAGGATCACCAGAGCCCAACAGATCAATGCTGGGGTGGCCATGAGCATGCCACTGCACTCCAGCCTAGGTGATGAAGTGAGACTCCATACAACTCAAAACAAAAAAAAAAGCCAGAACTTTCCTCAGCAAGAGGAAGGGGAGAATTCACATGTTCTGGGAAGGTAGGATTTGGAAATGGGGAACACAGCAGAGGAAACAGAGATGCCATTGCAGAGGAAAGGCCATGCTTGTGAGTAAATACTGCAAGTGACTGCTGGGGTCCTCGTTCCACAAGGAGGTGGCGAGCCATCCAAGAGCATCTATGAGGTGGGGGGGTTGACAGGGGACTGCTTGACACTATCTCTTCCACCCATCCAGGCAGCTCATGTGAAGCTCTCTCCTTCCACCTCCACCTGAAAGCCTTCCCGATACCGGGCCTGGGCATGGGGAACACCCCCCACCCCCTACTCCTACCACTCACCCCTTCTCCCTGCACAGTTGTTAATGTCCCCACGGGTGCAGACAAATCCTCCCAAGGGCTGCAGTATCGCAGGCCTCCGGGTGTCAGCAGTCACTGAGTCTGATGTGTCTGGACCAGAGGTAGAATCAGGAAAGGATTTTGAGAGAGAAGTTCCTGTTCTGAAGTAGCATCCCCATTTCACTCTGTGCATGGGGAGACCAGTGGGGTCCTACACATGGGCTCTGAGACCTGAGCCCTGCTGAGCATGCCCCTCACCCTCCTCCTCTGGCCTGGCTCCTGCCACCCCTGCCCTCTTACATGCTGCCCCTGGGCCTGAAAGAACTTTCCTCAGCAAGAGGAAGGCAAGAATTCACACATTCTGAGAAGGTGCTAAGGACATAGGCTCCGAAGTCAGAGGCCGCACTGGAATCTCACCCCCACCACTTACTGATGCTGATCTTCCCACCTCTAAATGGGATAATGAGAGGCCCTTCTTTTATGAGCATTATTTTGTGTCTTCAATGAGCCACAACAAGTGAAGCAGCCTGAAGGACCTGGCCCTTCAGTCAATATAAGCTGTGACGGTCATTAGTGTTTGCACATGTCATTATCTAGTCAGTTCTCCCTCACCACTCGGTCTTAGCTCAAGTGTTATTTTCTCAGGGCAACTTTCTCAGATCCACCGTCCTTCCATCCTTAGACTAGGCAAATCTCCCTGCTTTTCAGCATCTGCCTCGTCTAACTCCACTCTTTGGGGTATCAAAAGGTGTACTTTAACATAGCATGTAAAAAAATATCATGGTTTACCACTAAATATGGACGTGTGTGATTATTCAATTGTTTCCCTCGGTGAAGAAATAGATGATGGTCTGATTTTTTTAATTCACTAGTATATCTCCAGGATCTAGGGCCTGGCTTAAACTACGAATACATGATGTTAGTTTTCTAATGCGGTGTAGTACATTACCACAAATAACATGTAATTATGATCTCATCGTTTCCGTGGGTCAGAAGTACAGCCATGGCTTACCTGGGCCTTCTACTTTGGGGTATCTCAATCAGGATAGTGGGCACAACTGGGATGGAAGCCTTGGTCTATGCAGCTTCCACCACAAGCCCAGTTTTTATGAACTCCTGCTGGGTGCCAGGCACTCCCTCTTCCTGTCTTCCTGCATTAGGACTCTGGGTGAGTGGGTTGCATCTGGAGGCTTGACAGGGACAGAGCTCATGCAGGTTTCCTCGATGCTGTCTGACTGTGGGCCCCACTGGCTGTCCCCAGAAAGCTGCCCACAGCTCCCTGCCACACAGGCTTCCTCAAAATGACTGCTTAGCCCATCAAGCCAGTGAGGAGACTCTCCAGTCTGCTGAGAGGAGGGTTTATGTGAAGTAATCCAGTCAAGGAGTAATCTCCCATCATCTTTGCCATCTTCCATTTGTTCGAAGCAAGTCACAGGTTCTGCCTCACAGATGATACATAAGTATTTTATTTTGTAGAGGCAGTGTCTCGCTATGTTGCCCAGGCTGGTCCTGGCCTTGGATCCTCTCACCTCCATGCCTGGCTGGCTCTATAAGTATTTGATATATGAGTGACTGATTGACTTTAGAAGGCCTAAGATATCCAATGTCGGCCAGGGATAGGAGGAAAGGGGTCCCAGGATAAGCCTTTTAGGGGCAACAACTGAGCTTCAAAGCTTCAAGGAACTTGACAGATCAACTAGTTCGACCCACTCTCTACTCCTACCCCAAGGTTTACAGATGAGGAAAGTGAGACGAGGGGTTAAGCCATCACCCAAGTCATTTGGTGGCATAACTGGTCTGGAAGTCTTGGGCTATACAGCTCCCAAGTCTGGTGTATTGAGCCCCTACTGGGTGCCAGACACCAGCCAGGGGTTGGGGCATCTGGATGGGTGTGATATGGGCCCAGCCATACCTTCCTGCCTCCCTGCTGCCTTCCTGCAGCCAGACTCTGATGCTCTCTGCAGATAGGAAGAGGCCTCAGAGGGAGCACTTCTCAAATGGAAGAAGGCATCAGAGGCACCAGGGGGGCATGTTTAAACTGCAGGCTCTGTCTGCAAAGCCACTGACTTGGGCTCTTCAAAACTCAGTGCTGTGAAAGAAAAACTGAGGGGCCATTGCAGACCGAAGGAGACTAAAGAGGCAGCTCAAAGCAAAACTTGTTCCAGGACCAGATTCTGGATGGAGGAGAGCAGAATTGCCATAATTAGAAATATTGGGCAGTTGATAGACTCTGAATACTAGAGAATTGTATCATCTCAATGGAATTTGATAATTGTATTTATGAAAGAGAATGCTCTTGTTTGTTAATACATGCTAAAGGATTTGGGGGTAAAGAAACAGTGTGTCTGCAACTCACTCAAATCGTTCTAGGAAAAAAAAAAGAGCATCTGTAGAGAGAAAGGGAGTGATAGATTTAGAAGGCCTAAGACATCCAACCTTGACCTGCAGATGTTGCAAAATGCTAGCAATCTGTAGAGTGAAAGTGTACACAGGAAATCTTTGTACTATTTTAAATAAAACTTTTCTGTAAGTTCAAAATTATTTCAAGATTTTAAAAACTTATCTCAAAATGATTGAGCAGACTCCTGGACCCACCATGGAGATTGAGACCAGCCGCTGGGATGATTGGGATCAGAGCTGGCTGACCTGGGGCCACGCCCTAACAAATGCTGCCAGTGTGTGGCTCACATGGGTAAACAGTTGTTGGGACCTGAGCAACAGGTTAACCAAGCCAAGTGCTACCCAAGTCAAGGACATGCTAGGGCCCCACAGGAGACGGGCAGTCTGAGCTCCCACTCCATTTTTTCAGGCAGGGGCACCCCTGGGGACTAAGCTGGGTGTCAGAGAGAGAAAGGGGTGCAGGGCACTGGGCCAGGCTGGGGTTCTGAGTTCCGTCCAGGCTCTGGCAAGCTGTGACCTTAGGCTAGTCCCTACCTGTCTCTGAAGCCTGTTTCTTATTCTTTAGCAGTGGACACTTGTTTTTAACCACTTAGAGACCATTCCCTCCTCTTCAGGACCCTGAGGACCCCAGCATGGCTAAGCAGACAGCTGCCCCACTCCAGCCCAGCAAGTGGTGGGGGTTGGCACGTGATGTGAGGCAGGCCTGGGAGGCGCCACACTGAAGTTTTTGTGGGAACTGCTGGATTGCTCCTCTGGGAGGCCTGGGAGGAAATAAGCAGGTGCTGATGTCGTGGGCTATGAGAGAAGACTCTATCGGTGAATAGAGGCTGCATGAGAAGGCAGGACGGAGAGGCAGAGAGACACCAAATCTTCCAGATGACATCCTCTGAACCCCTGGCCCCAGTGGCACCACTCCCATCTCCGGACCACCCAACCCAGGAGCCAAGAGATGCCGTGTACCCTTTTTTGCCTGTTTGACTTCAGTTTGGGTTACTTATAACCAAAGATTTGAACACGAGAACTGCTACTCCTTACTGAGAGGTTTACACCATAGCGTCTGAGTCCAGGAGCGCACTGGTAGCCTGGCGGCCCTCCTGCCCCCAGGACGCCCCAGCTCCACCTTGCCAGCTCCGTTCTCTGCCAGCGTCTCTATGTGAGATGTGTCCGCCCTCAAAAGCTCCCCTAAGCCTCAGACTCCCTGGGGTGTCCCTTCTGCCCTCCTCGGGGGATTGAGGAGCCCGCCATGGTTCATTACAACCCATTCCTGACACAGCTGCTTTCCTGTGGGCGGAAGAGCGATGAGCCCCATGTCTCCTCTCAGCAGAGAAATAAATCTCCCCACTGTCCCTTCCCCTGCAGACCGAGGTAGAGCTGGCTGGCGCAGCAGCTGAGGCTTCTCTCACTAGCAAAGGAGCCTGGAGCCGCAGCCCACGAAGGTCAAGAGAGTGGAATTGTTCTAATAAAGCAGGGAGGCATGTGTGGTGACGGGGCCACAGGCAGGGGTGGCAGAGCTGGAGGAAGCTGGAAACCTAACATTCAGTTCTCACTAGTGTGTTTGGCTGTGATGTAAACCTATTCCCACCTCCATACACGTCTGGAAGGTTCCGATGGCCTTGTGCAGTGTGGTTTCTGTGCTTCGTGGCAAGGGCCTCAAGTTCCATGTGAATTTGATGGAAGGAGGGGAAGGGGACAGCCATGGAGAGGGGATAGTGAGGAATGAGGAGAGGCCAATGGGGGTGGGCCGGCAGGGCAAAAGCCCCTGAGAAGGGGCAGACATCTGGGGAAGCGTGTGGGCTGGGCCTTCGGCTGACATTTGGGTGACATCAACTTTTATCATCACTGCAGTGTCTGTTCAGGGACCTGCTCACTGTCAGCTCCACAGGCCTGGGCCGGGTCTGTCTGTTGCCCTTTCACCTCCAGCCCCCAGCCCCAGACTTTGAATCTCCCAGCGCTGTGGGCAGCCGTCCCATTTCGCACATTCTACCATCATACCTAGCCAATAACAATGACTGTGCTATGTGCTTGGGATTTTTTTTATTTTTTGAGTCAGGGTCTCACTATGCTGCTCAGGCTGGAATGTAGTGTCATGATCGTGGCTCACTGCGGCCTCTATCTCCTGGGCTCAAATGCTCCTCCTGCCTCAGCCTCCCAAGAAGATGGGACCACCATGCCTGGCTAAATTTTTCTTTTTCTTTGTAGAGACAAGGTCCCCTTTTGTTGCCCAGGCTGGCCTCAAACTCCTGGGCTCAAGTGATCCTCATGCCTCGATCTCCCAAAGTGCTGGGATTACAGGTATGATAGCTGATTCTCACAAAGTGAGGCAGAGAAATGTGGAACAGGATGGGTTGCAAGGATGGAGGATGTGGAGGAAGCTTTTTTTTTTTTTCTTTTTTTTTGAGTTGGAGTCTCACTCTGTCGCCCAGACTGGAGTGCAGTGGCCGCTCCCGGCCACCGCAGCCTCGACCTGCTGGGCTCTGGCGATCCTTCCGCCTCAGCCTTCCAAGTAGCCGGAATTACAGGCGCGCACTACCACGACCAGCTGATTTTTTGATTTACTGTAGAGATGAGGTCTCGCTGCCCAGGCGGGTCTCGAACCCGCGGGCTCAGGCAATCCACTCACCTCAGCCTCCCAAAGGCGCGGGATTACAGGCTGAGCCACCGAGCCCGGCTAGCTTTTTTTTTTAATGGGAGAGATGTGTCTCAAGGCTGATGATGAGAGAAAAGATAATCAAGACTACAGCAGGGAGTGGGGGATGAATCATGCCTCTGCCACTCACAAGCCCTGGGACTCAGGCCATTAATTCACTGCCACTCCCTTCTCTGAAAAGTAGACATCATAAGAGTATCTGCCTTGCTGGGCTGACGTGAGGAGCAGACAAGTTGGTGCGTGCGTGGCTGAGTACGCAGTGCTCGGCCTCAGTCAATGTTATTCCTGTGATCACCCTCCCCTGTGGCTTCCAAAAGGGGCGAGTCAGGTATGCAGGACCCTGTGGTCTGCAAGGCTTCCCAGCTCTGCACATGGCCCTGGTGATCTGGGAGCATCTTTTTTTTTGAACCAGGCCTCACTCTGTCACCCAGGCTGGAGTGCAGTGGCACAATCACAGCAACCGCAGCCTCAACCTCCTGGGCTCAGGAAATCCTTCTGCCTCAGCTTCCCAAGTAGCTGGGACTAGAGGAGCACCATCGCATCTGGCTAATTTTTTTATTTTTTTGGAGAGATACGAGGTCTCACTATGTTGTCCAGTCTGTTCTCAAACTCCTGGGCTCAAGTAATCCTCCCACCTCAGGCTCCCAATGTGCTGGGATTACAGGCATCCAGCCTGGGAGCACCTTGAATTATTACTTTGATCTTCTGCGACAGGCTAAATAAGTGGGATTTTTCTTTTTTTTTTAATCAATAGGAATAGTAGGAACATAAGTAGGTCTACCCCAGAGGTTAGCAGAAGGACAGAGGCAGGATGCTTAGGTGCGTTCAGCCTCCTTCAGCTTATTGGGTCTGGGAGCGTCTGCTCTATCATTGGTCCAAGGTCAGGCTTCCCTAACCCAAGTTCTCTTTGGAGGAGAGAGAGTGGTGGGCCCTTTGCAGCCTGAATTTTTATTGTAAATTAGAGTGAGAAGGGTTGAATAGTGTCCCCTCAAAATTCATGTCCCCTCAAAATTGGCCTTATTTGGAAATAGGGTCTTTGCAGAAGTAATTAAGGCACAGCTCAAGATGAGACCATACAGGATTAGGGTGGCCCTAAATCCAATGGCTGGTGTCCTCATAAGATGAGGAGGGTGCACGGAGACACATACAGAGGAGAAGCCAGGTGGAGACACTTACAGATTGAAGTGGTGAGGCCAAGGAAGGCTAAGGATTGCTGGGAGCTATCAGGAGCTGGAAGAGGTAAGGAATACTTCTTGCCTCCAGCCTTCAGAGGGAGGCTGCCTCTAACAGACATCTTCATCTCAGACTTCTGACCTCCAGAACTGTGGAAGGATCAATTTCTGTCATTTTAAGCCACCAGCATGAGGTCATTTGTTATGGCAGCCCTGGGATACTTGCTTGGCCTAGATCAGTGAAGGAGGACACGGTGTTCCCTGAGGCCAGCCCGGTGACACTGAGTGACCTGAGGGACCCTCTTCAGCTCAGAAAGGCTGGAAGTAGCATGCAGACCAAAGCCTGGACTGAAGTGGGAACACATTTGAGACCGAGTGGGAGGGACTGGTCTTGCTTCCCCCGGGGGAGGCCACCCAACCCAAGACCACTATGGGGCCCACGGGCAGAGCCACTTCAGAGCTGCCATGACTTGATGGACATTCAGACAAACTTTTTAGTTGTAAATATCTTGAAAATACTACTCATGAATGGCCCAAGAATTTTGCTCCCAAGAGTTTGTCTTAAGGAAAAGCTAGAAATTTGGAGGAAGCTTCATTCTCCAGGATGACACTGATAATACTGAAAAACGAGAAAGCATCACAATGTCCAACAGCAAGGAAAATCTTGACCAAATGACAGTATCTCTAAAAGACGGACTATTGAACAGCCAGTGGTAAGATTAGGAAGTGTTTAATATTTACAAAGAGCATTTAATGATGTGGGAGACGGTAGTGGTATAATAAGTGGGGAAAAACTGGTTATAAAATGATACAATATGATGGCAATCATGAAAAAATGCACAAGGAAGACAAAAAATGTCAAAATGTCAAAGTGGTCTCTAGACGGAGGAACAATAGTGCTTTAAAAAAATTTCTTTATACTTTCTGTACTTTTAAAATGGTTTACTATGTACATGGATTACTTCCATAATCAAGAAAAAAGTAAAATCCTTTAAAATGCAGTGTACATGGTTTCCATTTTTATTTGCTCTGATGAATGACTGCACATCAGTGAGTCTTGAGTTACGCTAACTACTTAGGCCGGTCACAAGACACACACATACAGAGAGGTCACACAGGCTGTGCCAGACTGGCTGTCGCAGATGTACATCAGGTTACACAGGAGGAATTGTCGCCACCAAGTGCTGGGACACAGTTGGGCAGGCTGCCTCTCCGGCCCATCGCTGTCTTTCACGGAGGTCTGTGTGTTGAGCTGGTGACACAACGTCCACTGGCATCTCTGTGGTGGCCTCCAGGCAGTGGAGAGTGCCTAGGGCCATATCTGCTCTGGCTCCCCTGCTCACCCACCACAGCCTTGGCCTTGGCACCTCCAGCTCCCTTCTGCACCCTGAATCTACTTGGGCCCAGCCCCCCGCTCTCCGGCCTCCCTCTGCTCCACACACCTAGGACAGACCGAGAGTTCAGTGGACGCCGTCCTGATAGGAACTGTGCCCAGACACAGGATGGAAGGAAGTGGGAGATGTGACCATGACATCACACACAAGCTTGATCTTTACAGACAGGGCCTCTGTGTCTCCAAGAACGCTATGGGGATGGTGCCCGAGAGACGTGTGGGCTATGTGGAGCCCTCAAGGGCACAGCTGCTGGGAGAAGACAGACAGGGTATGGGACCTGTGCCCGCTAGGGGCAGGTCAGACAGCAGAGCTAGGAGGGTGGATGGGGATGTGTCCAACACGGTGCTAGATTGCTGAGAAGTCACAAGGATACACACCTGGGGAGCATGCCCCTCTCCCAGCTCATTCGCACGGTGGGTTAGATACAGCTAGATAGAAGTGGAAATATACTTTTTGAAGGGAGGACCTTTCCTGGTTGTTGGATACACAGTGACACAGACTCCTGGGTTCGGCATGCTCTGGGGAGGGCCATGCGACAGTGAGGGACTCCCTATTGCTACACTCTGTACAGGGCAGCCGGCCCCTGGCGGCAGTCATGGGCTTGCCTTCAACCCCTTCCGCCTTGGCGAGCTCTTGGGCCCCGGTGAAATGGGGGCTATGAAGACAAGAGGGTGGGAGGGGGTCCCCTTGGCCCCGGGGGCACCCCAAGTGGGGGCTACATGATGTTGCACTGGGTGGCCCCACAACAATCCTTGATGAGTGCCAGCCCCGTCTTGGCCACTGTGGGCTTGCTAGGTGGGGGCTCTGCTTTCTTCTCTGCCCGGGAGCCTGCAGTAAGGTGGAGGCATAGCGGGAGAGAGGGAGAAAGGAAGAGAGACAGAGAGAGGTGAGGTGTGGGGAGCCCTGACCATCTGCAGCCCAGCCCCACCCTCACCCCTGGCCAGGTCTTGTTCCAGGCCCTGTTCAGGTGGTGTGGAGAGCTGATGTGCATTTTATGTGGTCCTGGTGACTGTTCCCATGTCCCTGGGGGCTTACTGGCTTTCGGGTCTCAGCTTCTGAACATAGCTTTTAGTCCTTCTCTTAGTCAGCTCTCCTCACCGTTGTACCTCCAAGTCTAACACAGGGCCTGACATTCAAGAAGTATTTGGTAAATGGATAAATGGGAAATTTTTTTCAAGTCACTTTAATCTGAGGTCTCATATTTTTCTTTTTTTTGAGTCAAGATCTCACTCTGTTGCCCAGGCTGCTGTGCAGTGGCTCCACTCATGGTTCACTGAAGCCTCAAACTCCTGGGCTCAGGTGATCTACCACCTCAGTCTCTCAAGTAGCTGGAACTACAGGCTCGCACCACCAGGCCTGGCTAATTTTTTTATTTTATTTTTTTTAGACATGAAGTCTTACTATGTTTCCCAGGCTGGTCTCAAACTCCAGGACTCAAGCAATCCTCCCACCTCAGCCTCTCAGCGTGCTGGGATTACAAGCATGAGCCACCTCACACAGACTGAGGACTTATTTTTCAATTCTTGAAAATGCTCAAATGTTATCTTTTCAGATACCTCCATGCCCCATTCTCTGTTTTATCTCCTCCTAGAATGCCTATCAGATGTAAGTTGGACCTTCTCATTCTATCCTCTGTTTCATAACTTCTTTTTTGTGTTTCCCATCCCTCTTTCTCCGTACTACATTCTGCATAATTTTCCAAAATCTACCTTCCAGTTCAAGAATCCTCCCTTCAGCTGTGTCTCTGTATTTACTCCCTTGAGTTTTTACTTCATTGACAATAAATTTTTTAAAAGGTTATTAAACTTTTTAAAAGTCTGCCTATTATTTTTTCATAGCATGCTGCTATTTCATTTCGGTTTTTATCTCTTTCTTTTACTCTTTAATAATTTAAATATACTTAGTTAATCATATCTTTTAAATAGTTCTGTTATTTCTAGTTTTGGGGAGGACATTCTCTATGTTGCATCTACTAATTCCCCTCGCAGTGATTCAGTTAGTCATATGTTTTCAACTTTTACTTAGAGCTCATCTTCATAGAGGCTGTTTTTTCTATGGGAGTGCTGTGTACCATGGAATGCAGAAGAATCTCGACTGAGCGGTTTTTCTAGTATTGTGGTACTGCCTCTCCCTGAGAGTTCACTAGTTTTAGAGTAGTTTTTTCAACTTGGGATTCCAGCACCAGTTGAGTTGTATAAACTTGCCCCCTTGCATGTGGTGCAGGCTTGGTGTTTTGACTTCTTGCCAGAACATTTTTGGATTTTTTTCCCCCCCATCCATAACCCTACACAGAAGGCAAGTTTCCCTGTTTCTTCTCCATGCTGCTAGGTGTGGTTTTTCTACTTTGCCTTTCCTGGAAGAGACAGTCCACTGACAGTGGTGGCTTTGGGCAGCAATCATGTGCCTTGTGGTTTTAGGGGCCTCTAGAAGGGAACGTGGCCTTTATCTTCACTTACTCCTCACACTCTAAGCCATGTTTTCACACTCTAAGCCAGTGTTTTCAGAGGACATTAATGGATGGCTTGTGATTGTACAGATAATGGCAGCTTTTAGTTTTTGTCTTCCTAGAAAGACTTCAGTCCCTCTTCCTCTGGCAACAGCTCATGTCCCTATGGCTGCAAGAACGGGCATGTTACACAAACCTGGACAATCACAGTATTCCCAGCCTCTTGGTGATGATAATGGGTCTAAGAGGTGGGGACACGATCCAAGAAGGTACTAGGAAAAAGAATCTGTGGTACTGCCTCAGAGCTTCTGACTTATAGTTCTGGGGTTCTGGGCCCATGGAGAAGGCCTGTGTGGTGGGAGAAAATGAAGCTAACATGCAAAGAAGGATAAAAATGAGAAATGGGAGGAAAGGGGGGAACTAATAGTATTCAGTCCCTGGGGTCCTAGTTCTTGTTGCTCTTTCTTCCACAAATCCCCCTCCCCCCCTTTTTTTCACTTAGACCAATTTGGACTGGACATCCATTTCTTATAACTGAAAGAGGCCTCATTAATGCAGCAGTCAGACACATTTAAAAACACTGGGTCAACAAAGAGAAGAAAGTTTCTTGACAGTAGGATCCATTAACATTTTAATATCCTAATAGACACTGGGACCTTCCAAACACAGGGTCAAGTACGCAGCATTTCACAAAATCATTTCACACAGAATGTTTTTGCTCTGGGTATCTTATAAGGCTAAGATTCTGAGAAGTGTGCCTCTAGCTCCTCCAGAGATTCCAGCCCCCAAAGAAGTTAGAGCTCCCTGAGCCTCAGTGGCCACCCAGTTCCTTCCACAAAATGCACTAAATCACGTGATTTGGGAGGGACAACTGTTGCCAGGATCAGCTACATAGTTTGCAGAGTTCAATGCAAAATGAAGACACAGGGTCTTTGTTCCAAAATTATTAAGAATTTCAAGAGATCAATAGAAAAACCAGGCATGGTGCCCATCTAGGTGTGGGGCCCTAGGGAACTACACAGGTTGTAGGTTCATGAATCTGGCCCTGCCTACTGTCATCCTGTGTTCAAGTTCGCTCTCTAGAAAGTATTTTGTTGTGCCCTCTTTGGCTCCCAGACCACTTTGAAATAGCCTTTGCTCTTTCATGGGGGGCAGGGGGCAGGAATATGTATGTACTCACTGGCCGGAGATTTGGTTACTTTGTCTAGAGGTTTTAACTTGATTCTCAGGAAATCGGCCATTTCTTTGTCTTCTTCTTGCTCCCTGTGGATGCAGATTTGTAAGAGAAAAGGCAGGTGCAGTGAGCAAGTAAAACATCAAGGAACCAAAAGAAATGAAGCAAGAGTGTCAGGCTTTGTAGATGGAGCACATATGTTGTTGTGTGTTATATGTGTATGGTATAGGTGTGCTACATTTGATGAATCTGCTCTAAACCAGAGACACATCAACAAGCCTACCCAGCGCTAGGGTGAGACCTCAGGGAAGAGGCAGGGACATCACAGTGCCCAGTCTCCCTACTGGGGGTTCAATGGGCTAGGCAATACCTCTCCTTACCCTAGTCCTTTAAGCCTCCCTATTCACCTGTGCTACAAGGTATGTGGCTGGTCTCAGGGAGCAAGGCACCTTAGCTCTTTCAAGGGTCACCTGGATAAAGTTGGTGGGTCCAGCTTGGGTGAGCTAGGCAAGGTACATCCCAGAGACCTTGGAGAGGGGTCTCTGGGGACACAGAGAATCAGAAAGTTGCCCTCTGGGATAGAAGGGGCCCTGATGGCCTCTCTCCTTCTGGAGGGCTCCAAAAGACTTTGCACTGGGACAAAAATATTTAAGAATCAACACCACAGCTTCCCCATGCCCAGCTTCCTCAGGAGTCTTCAGTGGCTCTGCGGCTCCAGGGCCTGTGGTTATCCAAGTCAAGATGGCAGGTACAAATAGGAGACCCTAATAGCCAGGCAATGGCATTGGAGCCACTAAGGAGGAAGGAAAGGGAAGGAAAAGCTGGAAAGTTGAGAGGGGAGGGATGGGAAGCAAATCAGCATAAGGGGAAGAGTTTTTGTAGCAGCCAACAGGAGAAGTTTCAAGAAGCTGTCTTGATGAGGGAGGATGTTGGAAGTTCTGCCATGTGTCATGGGATGTGATTCCTCCCTGGTCACCTCCTTGAACAACAACCACTTAAGATGTACAGACTTTGCAAGACTTTTTGGAGACAGATTTTAGTTTCTCTGGAATATGAAATGGGTCCTCAGACCAGAAGGCTGGGGTTCATTTGGGCCCAGTGTCCCAGGACCGTTGGCCGGGGTCATGCCAGTGAGGCACAGCTGTGAATCCCAGGAGTAGACCAGGGGTTCCAGGAGGGAGCTGAGGGTTGGGGTCTGGCATGCGGCCCACTCACCTCAACCGCTCGACCTCTGCGTCATCCACCAAGAAATCTCTCTTCTGCACCAGTTTGTGGATCTTCTGGATAAGCTCATCTTCTCTCTGCTTCTGCAGCTTGGTTTTTTCTTTTTCTGGGAAGAAGAAAACATCCACAAAGAAACAGATGTGGGCAACTGCCGAAAGCACTTAAATTGCGGGGCAGTGTGGGAATCCTGGCTCTACCATTCCCCTGCTGGGTAAACTCAAAGGAGTAACATGACCTCTTCAAGCATCAGTTTCCTCATCTGTAAAATACACACAGTGAGGCTGAAAATGCAGGCATGTGAATAAATGACTTAGCAGAGAGCTTGGCCTTGACCAGGAGCTCTCTGTCAATGGTTACAACCCAGCAAGGGGCTTCTGAGGAAGGCAAAGGGTGAGGAGGGGCTCGGGGCGGGGGTACTGGGAGGGAATCCCTCTGCGGTGAGGGAAACCCATTTGCCAGAAGAAAGTCATCAATGGTGATGACATTAGCCCTGTCCCAGACACCAAGGACTAGGACACAAAGGAGAAATGAAAAGAAAGAGAGGGCTTGAAGATGAGGCTTGAGAAAATGAGGAGACAAAAACATAAACCCACTTTAGACATCTGCTCAGACCCCTTTGGAATAAAAACTAAGGGACCGCTCATCCATCTGCCTGCCTAGGACCAATATTGACAATTTCTTCTCGATTTGGAAGCAGAACCAGAGGTGAGGAAACTAATATTTGGAGAGGAGAGAAAGTTTCACCATTCACCAGAAGGCCGCTGCAGGAAGAAGGGCAGGGGAATTTTAGCCGCCCTGATCCCAGCCATTGCTGCACTGGACAACAGTGGCAGCTCTCCCGCCATGGTGGGTCCCTGGGGTCGGGCTCCCCAAGTCACACATGAGTACCACAGAGCCCCTCCCTGCCCTCACCCAGTGAATGCCAGCACCACACACTCACCAGGGCACCCGCTCACTCCAGCTCTCTGGGGAGTCCATGTTGTGGCTTTCCTCTGAAGTACCCATCGACAGCACCCGATATTCCCAAGTGTCCTCCATTGCTCCCCGGATCTTGGCCAGAATCGCCAGACAACTTGCTGGGCCCCCAGCACCTGCAAACCTCTGTCCCCTGGTGATTCATTCATGTTTTCTGTCTCTCGCCAGTAGCGGCATCCCCCAGTCTCCCTCAGATACTCAGATACTCCCTCAAGTGACTCCCGGGAGAAGCCACCAACTCCCAGAGGTGGACTGTGTCAGCTTACAGCCCCGTGACTGGCCCGGGCTCCAGGTCACTGGCCAACGCTGCTCAACTGCATTTGTGTGCCCCATATCTTTCCTTATCAATGGCCCCCACTTGGCTGCAGGTGCCACTCATCTGTCTCAGGCACTACCCACCTATCTCAGGTACCACCCACCTACCTACAGGTGCCATCCACCTGTCTCCAGGAACCACTCACCTGTCTGCAGATACCACCCATCTGTCTCTAGATACTACCAAACTATCTCTGCAGATACCACCCATCTGTCTCTAGATACTACCAACCACCTGTCTCCAGGCACCACCCACCTACCTGCAGGCATCATCCACCAGCCTCCTGGCACCACCCACTTGTCTGCAAGCACCACCCACCTGTCTCAGGCACCACCTACCTACCTGCAGGCTCCACCCACCTGTCTCAGGCACCACCCACCTACCTTGACAATGTGATCCTTTTGTTTTCCACTGTTACCCACCTACTTGCCTTTGAGAACCCCCAGCCTGCCACCTTTACTCCTGCTTGCTAGCATCCCACACCTGATTCCTAATGCCCCCATGTGCCTGCCACACGACCATTCAGCTTGCCTCCCACCTCCTCTGGGCCTCTCCTGAACCCACACCATCACCATTTCTCCCTGGGCCTTGCTGTGGCCTCCCAATTGGACTTCCTATCCTGGAGCTCCTGTCACACCCGTGAGCCCTCCAGTAGAACCGCACGGTTCTTTCCTAGCTGTGTGGCTCTGGGCAAGCCCCTCAATCTCTCTGCACATCTCTCAACACAGATCATTATAAAGCGGTTTCAAGTTTGAAGAGGTATATACCAGTGAAATACCTAGCTTACTGCCTGGTGCATAGTCAGGGCTCATGAAAAGTTAGCTGCTCTGATGACACACTAGTAGTTTACACTGTCACTGTTGTTTGAATGATTAAATGCCCTCTAGATTAAATATTTATTGAACAAGGTACAAAAAAAATGTACTTATTTAATAAAGGAAAAGCAAATATGATAAGTGTATACATGGTATGTGCTTAATAAATTGCAGCTATTACAACTATTTTTATTACCACAAACTTTAATCTAGACTTCTTCACCTTGGCATGACTGGCATTTGGGACCAGATCATTCTCCAGTGCAGAAGTCTGTCCTGTGCACTGAAGGGTGTTTGGCAGCAACTCTGTTCTTTACCTGCTGCATGCCAGAAGCATCGGCTCCCCCAAGTCGTGACAATTAAAAATATCTCCGTGGACAGGCACAGTGGCTCATACCTGAAATCCCAGCACTTTGGGAGGAGAAAGGAGTGCTTGAGCCAGGAGTTTGAGACCCTAGTGAGACCTTGTCTCTATAAAAAAATCAAAAAATTAGCCAGGCATGTTGGTGCATGCCTGTAGTCCCAGCTATTCGAGAGGCTGAGGTGGGAGGATCACCTAAGCCCAGAAGGTTGAGGCTGCGGTAAGCTGTGATTGTGCCACTGCGCTCCAGTCTGGACCATAGAGTTAGATTCTGACTCAAAAAAAGTCTCCAGACATTGTCAAATGTCCTCTGGGGAACAAAATTGCCCCCAGTTGAACTTTAATCCCTTAAACCACTGACTGACAGCTTTAATTCTTGTCAAAGATTGAGCTAAGCCCCTCGGCTCGTATCGTCTCACTGATCACTGTGATGTCGACACCCAATGAGTGAGGCCCTACTAATATTACTACCCCATTTTCTATCTTTCTTTGTTTCTTTGTTTTTTTGAGTTGGAGTCTCACTCCGTCGCCCAGGTTGGAGTGCAGTGGCATGCTCACGGTCACCCCAGCGTCGACCTGTTGGGCTCTGGCAATCCTTCCGCCTCAGTCTTCCAAGTAGCTGTAACTACAGGCGCACGCTACTACACCCGGCTAAATTTTTGATTTATTGTAGAGATGAGGTCTCGCCAAGTTGCCCAGGCTGGTCTCGAACCCATGGGCGCAGGCAATCCGCTCACCTTGGCCTCCCAAAGTGCTGGGATTACAGGCTGAGCCACCATGCCTGGCCTCCCATTTTCAGAAGAGGGAACATGGAGTCTGAGAGAAGTAAAGTGACATGCCCAAGGTCAAGAAGATGGGCAGAATTAGGACTTGAACATGAGCCTGCCTGACTTGAAGCTGTGTTTGAACCATGTGGTCAGGGAGCACTCCTTGCACTGCAAGAGCGAGGCCACACCAGGAGGAGGCAAGAACTCTGTCCTCCAGACCCCAGGGGTACTCATGGGCTGGGCTGGGGTCCTGAGCAGCCACATGACACAAGGCAACACCACAAATGGTTACCTGAGATGGCGACCAAGTTTTGCAGCTCCTGCTTCAAGTCCATGATGTCTTTGCAGAGCTGGATGTCGTCCATCCTGGAGAAACAGGACACCGTGCGACAGTGGGTTAGCTTGGCAGAGCACTGCACCCTGAGCATCCCCCCGGCTAGAATGGAGTGCCACAGAACTGGGTTATCCTTTGTAAGTGAGAGACCCAAGAGATTCAAAAAACTCTAAGAGAACTATTACTATATGAATTCCTACCCCACGTTCACTGTATTTGTTTGCAGTGTTTGTACTTAGAACTTTGTGAAGTTTAATTTTTGTTTGTCTCATAAAATAACTGATTGCTTCCGCAACTGCTGCTAGCAGTGTGTGAATGTTAAGCAATAAGCCCCTCCCGGACATTCCTTTGCTTAGATAACAGTAGACTGGTGGTACCAGCCACCCCCTGCCGTAGGTTCTGCATTGTTTAACCTCCTGCCTGCTTGCTAAACCTAGCTTATCTGACATTCCACCCTGCCCATTTAGCACCTCCCCATCAATCACAGGTAGCTGAGCAGACCAGACCAATCCCAAGTGTCCCCGTACCCATTAGGAGAAATTACCCAATCATGTAAAAACAAGTTTAAAGTTCTTTCCCCTCCCTCTGTAATTGTGCATAAAAACTGCTTGCCATACTGGATCTAGGCTCTCGTTCCTGAAGCCATAGCCGGCTTCACACATGAGCCCAGACTCGAGCCTGAATAAAGACCCTTGTGTGTTTGCATCAGAGCTGGCTCTTTGGTGGTCTCTCGGATTTTGAATTTTGGGTTTAACATTTGGAGGCCCCAGCGAGATTCCAGAGACCTCCAACCCCAGCCTGCAGGGTCTCAATATGGGTGAGTGCACAGTATTGTCTGTCTGTCTGCATATTTGTTACTTGTTTGTTAGCGCGCTTCTTGTAGGATATCGATATCCATTTTATAAGGTCAGAAGAAGGCTGAGCGGATGCGCTCTTGGGCCGCTGGCCAGGGGTCTTGGGAGACGTCTCTCGATCCCAGAGGGAGCCCAGGCGCTGGGAAGCGCAGGCTCAGAGGGAGCCCAGGCGCTGGGAAGCGCAGGCTCAGAGGGAGCCCAGGTGCTGGGAAGCACAGGCTCAGAGGGGTTCCAGGCGTGAGAGGCGCGGACTCAGTAGCTCTCGGACGCATTGGTGGGCCGGAGAGAGGGGGTCATCTGGTATGCCCCCATTCGGAGGATAGCACTGTTCTCATATCGAAGGTAGCCCAGCACCGAGAGGTGTGGGCTTGCCTTCAGATCGGTTTTGTCTTTGTCTCTATGGCCGGAGGAAAGTGTATTTTTGTGTTGGTTGCGTTTTTTTTTATTTTATCTGCTGTGTTTGTGTGTGTGTTACTGTGGACGGAAAACATGGAACAGAGACTGACTCTAACTCGGCTGATTATTTCTCAGACGTAAAGTAAAGCTGATAATCAGAATGAAATCATTTGCAAAAAAAAAAGGGGCCATCCTTCAATGTAGGATGGCCACCTGAGAGCACTTTCTCACTAAGTTTTGCTTTGCAGGTTAAGCATACTATCTTCCTGATTTCCGTTATAGCCGCCCAAATCAGGTACGTAACTGATAACACGCCCTCCCCACCCCCCCACCCCCCCATGGGCCAAATCTTTTATTCCACCCAAACAGGGCCGACACTCAGAGTCCTGGCCTCACAGGAAACAAAGCCTGGCCTGGGCCGGGGCGCAGCGCGGCAACCCTTGCCCCACCCCCCTGCGAGCGGGGCAGAGCCTTCGAGCCATAGTCTGCAGCCCTGGGGGCCTGGGACGCTGTGCCCAGGACCTGCCCCGCTCTCGGCAGAGAGGAAACTGAGAACAAAGAGGATTAATGAGCATGAGCAAATCAGTAAAAAAAAAAACAAAAAACCTTCAAGGTGAGTATAAAAGCTTACAAATTCTAAATACTGCTGCAAAAGAATTTCTGCTAATAACTAGTTCTATCATTTCATTTAAAAAATATATCCTAGAATCTTCAGTCAAAATAAGTAATATAAGCAATATAAGATATATTTAACCAATAATATAGAGTATGTTTTTAATAATTATATAAAAATATTATATAATACATTTTTGTTCTATAATAGAATGGCTGGTTACAGAAAGCATAGAACAAAAATAGAAAGTTAAAACATGTCAAAGAATGGTATGAGTTCATCGAACATGTTAGGTAAAAGTTAATGGAAACAAATAAAAGAAATTCTGTAAACACTCAAGGCTAAAAAAGGGGCTCCACATAGTCTGCGTTGGGGGTATACCAACCTATCAATTGCTAACAGGTGTCTGTCACTTTGAATCTGCTAAAAAGCTGGTTAAGTTATTGTGCTTTGTTTAATGGGACATGTGGTCTTCTAAAAACTTAATTGGCGCATATTTCTCAATGTCATCTTGTCTCCTCTTATTTAAGTGGTGTCTTCTCCCAACCCGTTGGCGCTGTTAAAATTTCTGCCTTTTGTTGTTAAGGTTGTGGAAAATTGCCTGTTGCATATAAGAAGTGTTACTGGTTATCTTAAATTCTTTCCGGGGACCACTCCCCCTCCTTTCCTTAGCCTGCATTCTCCTTCGTAAATTCTGAAGGAGCTCATTCTAATCCACCTGTAAAGAAATGGAAAAATGTCTTTTATATGCTCTTAAATGTCTCTTAGCCTTTTGCTAACTCAATGTAAGTTAATGCTGGCCTTAGGGAAAAAAAAATTAATTTTGTGATCTTTCTCTGGCAACTAAGGGAATGAATAGGCTGTTCTCGTTTTCAAATGCTAAAAGCCAGGTTAATTGAAAGTAAGTCCGTTTCTGAAGGTTTAGGCCTTGCCTAAAATCGTAATCAACTGCTTGTCCCTGTAAAACTGTTAGGAAGTCTCTCAGAGTCTTGTAATGTATGCTGAGTCTCTACGTTATACTGTAATGCTAAGTAACACTAATGCTTGCGTTTTTTGGCTATGCTCATTTAATTGTCCACATCTTACGACTAAGGCTGCTGTTTAGTAATTCATGAGAATTTTTGACAATTTTGCCTGTTCATAATTAGGAATAAGTAGGAACAGATCATTTTACATCTTCGTGGTCTGTTCACTCTAAAAAGGTTTTATACCAGGCCGTTTTTGTAGACATCATTGGAAAGTCATAAAGCCAAAGGAAAAAAAAAAAAAAAAAGGAGAAGAACTCCAAAATGAGCACCAGCCAAAGGAAAGGTAAACAAATTGGCAGTTGCCACTAAAGGCAAAAGCTCCAGCCACCCAAAAGAGGCCTAATAAGGATAAATCTGCTAAGGGGATGGTATCAGCTGCTATAAATGTGGTCAATCTAGGCACCTGAAACACAATTGTTCTTAATAGCCTAAGCCCCCAGGACTTTGTCCAATATCTGGACTAAAAAGTCACTGAAAGAGATGGTGCGGCCTCTCCTGAAGGGGAGGGGAAACACCTAGCTCAACGATAGTGGCTGTTGACTGAAGGGGGAGGGGCACGGCCCAGTGCAGCACTCTGTATGCCATCCACCCAGAGAATCCTTGGGTCTAAATAAATGTGGCTGGGGTCCAAATTAATTTCTTAATTAATACTAAGGCTAAGTTTTTAGCCCTTGTGCTCATACTGAACTTCTTCCTCCTAAAACCTGCTCACCAGTGGAATTAAAAATGTTCCAAAAACTAAATGTTTCACCTAACAATTATTAAAAGATAAATTCAAATTATCACTGTAAAAGGTTATCTATAAATAAATAAAAAGGAAAGCAAAAGGCAAAGGAAAAATATAAAAAGGCTGTTGATATAAAAATAAGGTTTTAGCAGGGAAAACAAAAAAAGGAAGGAATGTAAATATATATATATATATTTATCTAAGAGGAAATCGTATCTGGTACATTTCTCTCCAATAATAAAATAGATAGCTATGAAAATTTTTAAAAGGGGGTACAGAACAAAAATAAAATGATATGAGCACACCAAAAATGGTATAAGAAAAGTTTAAGAAAAATATACATACAAAGGAAATTCTATAAACAATCTAGGCATAATAAAGTCTTTTTTTAAATGCAAGTCTCCAAACATTTTCAGATTTCTCTTCAAATTTTATATAGAATTTACTTAAATGCCTAGTTCAAATTATAGTCTAAAACAATCTGTCAGGCTACCATTATAGTCCAGAAATACAAAAGCTGGTACTTGTAATAAAGCCACAGAAGTTAAAGTTTATCATTTAAGTTATGCTAATAACTGCAGGCCTGGTAGTTTTTATATGAAAAGATAATCAGCCACTGCCTACAACTGTCAAAATGTAGGCCTGACTTTATTCCTTTTATTAAGCTAAAATCCAGTAATTTCATGCCCACATAATGGTCATGCAAAACTTCCAGCCAGTGCCTGCAAATAATGCCACTGCTAAACGCCTCCAGTCAGACAGAGGGAGATTTTTCGATCACTGGCTAGGCAGGACTGCACCCATTATCAGCTCTGAAGAAATTACAGAAGATGGACCTTCAGCCCTCAGCACCCCAAATAATTATGGGATCGAAAAATCTTTAAAAAATAAAGAATTGAGGCAGGGTAACTAGCACAGGTTAGACATAAATAAATTTCCTATAGATAGGTTCTAAGAGGCGTTCAAACATTTCTACTGCAGGCCAAGTGGCAACCTGTCCCACCCCTTGGCAAATCCAAGGAAAACTCCATCCGATAAAACTAGAACAGTATAATTTCAATTTGCAGGTTAGCATAATAATCACTAGAAATCCTTTGGAAATATAAATTAACTAAACATAGGTATTTGGTATTTCATCACTCAGGATCCAAATCCCTGAAATGAACTTTGTTAAACCTATAAAATTGTTTAATGGTAGGCCTCTGAAGGAAAGGGGGGGCCACAAACATAAATGCTCATAAGAAAATGTGTTGTCTATTTGAAATAAATTTTAATCACAGTTTATGAGCTTATTTCCCTAGACACTTCTTGAACCAGAAGAAATTCAAACATCCAAGGGAAGTAAGTGCTGCTAAAAATTGAAAAAGGAAGAACCCAATCAGCGACTATAAAAAAAAAAAAAATGGGGGGGACC